TCAACAGAAGATGAAAAATATAAAAAAAATTAGCATTGCCCATGACACGACGATTAAGGAAAGGAACCCAAACAAAGAAAAAATTCAGGAAGCCAAGACAAAGAATGAAGATCCAACCTTGGGGGACTTTGAGCATGTATTAACAGGGCCTCCTTGGGAATGAAAAGTGGTGAAAGTAAAAACAAAAAGAAAGCAAGAAGAATAGGAAAGGATGCAATAAAGATGTAAATGAGTTACTAGTTAAAAATGTAAATACGTTAAATGGTTTTAATGGTTTATATGCAAAAGCTGACAGCTTACCAAACAAGTTAAATGAACTAAAGACCAGGATACAAAACTATAAAGACATTGATGTGATAGGAATAAGTGAAGTTTACCCCAAAAATTGCAGATACACACCAAGCAAAGCAGAGTTACAAATTCAAGGATATGATTTACTGCTGAATGAAAATAAAGGGAACAATAAGAGGGGAACTGCATTATATATAAAAAATGAATTTAAAGCAGAAGAAATTAACATGAGCACAGAGTTCCAGGAATGTGTATGGGCTAAAGCTAAACTAAATGGGAAAGATAATTTACTGATAGGATGTCTGTATAAAAGCCCCAGCAGCGAACAAGAAAATACGAATGCACTTTATGACCTGATGTCCAAAGTGGCACAACTTGGCAAGGAATACACACATATACTCCTTATGGGGGATCTAAATTACCCTAAACTTGACTGGGATACATGGACAAAAACTGGGAACAAAGAAGGTGAAAAATTTATGGAAAGTGTAAGAGACGGCTACCTATTTCAGCATGTCACAAAATTTACAAGAACTAGAGGAACTAATGAACCGAGCACACTTGATTTGATATTCACAAACGAGAAAGAAATGATAAATGAAGTTGTACATGACAGCCCACATGGACACAGCGACCATTGTGTATTAAACTTTAGATATAATTGTTACATAGACTAAGAAACAAACAAATCAGACAGATGGAACTTCTTTAAAGGAAATTATCAGGAAATGGCTAAGGAAATGAATATAAATTGGGAGGAATACCTGAGAGAAGATGATCCGAATGTACTATTGACCTATTCCTGGAAAAATTCAATATAGCCAAGGAGAAATTTATACCGACATTAGACCAGAAAAAGGCTTCTAAAGCAAAAAAAGACAACTATATTCCCTTAGATGATAAAACAGTAAAAAGAATAAAAAAAGAAACACAGATGCTGGCAAAGATATATGGAAACAAAAGATGGAAAACTATACTAAAACTAGAAATCAAGTGAAAAGTCTGATTAGGAAGGCAAAAAATTATGGAAAAAGATATAGCCAAAAATGCGAAAACCAACCCCAAAAAATTCTGGCAATATGCCAACTTAAAAAGAAAAACCAAATCAGGAATAGCAGAATTAAAAATGAAGCAGGAAAATGGCGAGATAAAAACAACTAAAAGTGAACAGGAGAAAGCAGAGGTGTTATCCGAATTCTTTACAAGCGTCTTCACAGTTGAACCAGAGGGAGAGATACCTGGAATAGAGGAAAGAAATATACAACAGCAGTTTATCAACCAACCAATTAATGAAAAAGACATAACAAAAATGCTTTAAGAGTTAATCCCAACCAAGTCAACTGGACCAGATGGTTTACATCCAAAAGCACTAAAATAACTACATGAAATAATTGCCAAACCACTTAAAATCATCTTTAATGCATCACTACAATCGGGAAAAGTCCCAGACTTATGGAAAATTGGGAACATAATAGCTCTATTCAAGAAGGGAGACAAATCAGACCCGGGGAACTACAGGCCAGTAAGTTTACCAAGCGTAGCTTGTAAACTAATGGAGAAGATAATAAGAACTGTAATAGTCAAGCATATGGTGGTAAACAAACTATTTAGCAAAAAACAATTTGGCTTTATTTTGGGAAGATCGACAACACTACAACTATTGAAGGTATTGGATAAATGGACAGAGATACTAGACAACAGAGGTATTATTGATGCAATCTATATGGATTTCATGAAAGCATTCGACAAGGTCCCACATAAGGGACTGATAAAGAAACTACATTCCTATGGATTAAGTAAGATTATCATAGACTGGGTAGAAGATTTCTTAAAAAGCAGAAAGTATCAGTGAACAGACATGAATCAAAACAACAAAACATAACAAGTAGAATCCCACAAGGCAGTGTACTAGGTCCTATATTGTTTGTCATCTATATAAATGACATGCCAGATTGTGTCACAGCACCAACTTACTTGTTTGCAGACGATTCCAAAATATACGCTGAAATAAAGAACAAGGATGACAGTAACAGTCTACAAAATGACCTAGACGAACTCCAACAATGGTCAAACAAATGGCTACTAAGATTCCACCCAAACAAATGCAAAGTGGTTAGAGTCACCAACAAGAAACTCAAAGAGGAACAAATGACACAAGAAAACAATCACTACAATCAAGCAGGTGACAAGGTAATACTAGAGTATTCAGATGGAGAAAAGGATATAGGGGTGTTAGTTGACAGGGCATTAAACTTCGGTAAAAATATACAGCAGCAAGTAAACAAAGCCAACAGTATAATGGGACTGATCAGGAGAACATTCACACACCTAGACGAGACCAGTTTTAAATATTTATTCCAAGCTTTAGTACGCCCAAACCTAGAATATGCAGAAGCAGTTTGGTCACCACACAGAAAGAAAGATATAGATTCAATTGAAAACGTACAAAGAAGAGCAACAAAACTAATACCGTCCCTCAAGAAGCTAGAATATTATGAAAGACTGAGGAAATTGAAAATGCCAACATTAAAATACAGAAGAAGGGGGGGATATAATAGAAGTATATAAAATACTGTCAGGATATATGACCAGGAAGTAGCAGATGATTTGCTTGTATTGATCACAAGATCCACAAATACAAGAGGGCACAAGATAAAAGGGCATGTAAAACAAATCTAAGAAAATTTAGCTTCTCTAATAGAGTAATTGAGATTTGGAATTACTTACCACAAGAAGTCATAGCAGCAAAGACCTTGAAACAATTTGAGATTAGACTAGATAAGTTTTGGGCAAACCATAATGAAGATATAAAACTAACAGGAAAATGCGCATGACAAGAAAATAATGAACAAGAAGAGGTGGATATAGAGGCGGAAACGCCTGCGTCCATAGATGATCCTAAGGTATAATAAATTACTTTGATTAACACCGGAATTTACTTTGAGAAACACCGCAATTTCCCCCAAGACTATTGTATTTACGTATATTTTGCATTAATATTAATACTAAATGTATCTGCTGTAAAACGACATTTCCAGATGGTCAACTCCAGAAACACAATATGATAAGAACGCAGCAGTAATCCATGTAAAATGTCAAACCAAACATTTCTAGAATGTGGATCAAAACGTTCTAAGTGTAGACGAGCTAAGTTTATTCGAAAATTAACTTAGTAATAATAAGCCAATCAAATAAAGTCTCATCAATAGTAGTAGTAGTAGTATCCTGGTGTTTAACGTCTGCTTCCACATAAGTGATATCGCAGACAAGAAATAGGAGAGCCGAAGCTGGTCTCATCAATAATGGTTTGGATGTTTTCATAGATAATCCGTTGTTGCAAGAAGCTGTCCAGATTAAATAAAATGTTAAGTGTAATATTGTGACTGTGAGTTTTCTTGTGCCACCAACGAGACGCAAAAATACGGGGGTCACACATTATCGGCTTAATCCTTACTGATTATTTGTTCTTATTGCACTTTCTAGCAACTGTCCATCCTGTCAGTTCTTAAACACCCCCCCCCCCCTTGCCACGAAATATGCTGACTCCTGGTACACCCATGTCTCCACTACAATATCTTCTAAGTCTCACGATAAAACTGCTACCAAATAAAACTGCAACTTTAACATCTACTTCCACTTTTATGTGTGAAATAGCTTTATTTGACGCCAGTTTTCACCGAGGTGATATCCACTTTGTTGTTGTTTATTAAAGATTTAATGTCCAATACAATGAATATGATATTATAGACAGGTTGATTTAATTAAATTATTTTACACAAAATAAAAAGGTCCTCGGATACCAAAAGTTTCTTAAAGGGACAATAACACTCTTGCTGGGTTGACAGCTCCAGAAAATAAAAAATAGCCTTATTCTAAGTACTAGATGTGTTAGTGTCCTACCTGTTGTGTAAATTATCCATTAAATCCTATTTTACTTGTCCAGAGGGTTCAAAAATATTTTTAAATCCAAGTAACATTTGAAAAGCTTTACGTCAGGCTTCTTCAAATCATTTGGTTGAATTTTTCCAATTTTTTAAATTAGGTGTGTTAAATGAAATTTGTATCATCAATTAATTGGAATATTGTAAAATAGTACAATTTGTTGACCAGAATAAAGATTGGGACATATTATTCAGTTACAACAAGAGTGGTATTGAGCCTTTAAAGCACACTTATAAATTCGCTGTCGAGAGAAGAGAGGGCGGGTCGTCTTCTCCCTTTGTCTAGTAAAGTTACACACAGGAGGTCCAACAGACTGATGTTTGGCGTCATCAGAGCGGATAGAAAAAAAACAGATTAACGATTCTCAGATTTTTTTCTAACTCTCTAGCTCAAAAATTGAATTTTGGTTGGCACATGCTATTGTAAACAAATCTCAGACCACTACCTGTCGCAAAAGGCTAAAACTGTGAAACCAAGGCTTGGGCTCCTATTTCGAGATTAATATGAAATATTTTATTAAGATATATGTTTACATAATTGATTTACATACCTTGATAAACAAACTAAAATATCTGTTATTTTTCTTTTGTAAAATGAAAGTAATTGGTGCCGCGAACGCTTCATTGATTCACACTCAGTGCCTTGCAAAGCATCGTATTTTCCACCATTGCTCAGTGAATGTCACCGGAAGTAGATTACCAAAGAAATAGTCACAAGACTTAGCGGCCCTATTCCTAAGATGTCATAACTTGCTATGTCATAACTGACTTCTCGCCCTGAAGTATTTTTACTGATGAAACAATGTTTTTTTTTTTAGTTATATTCTATTTATTATTGTACATCACATGAAAATATGGGCGTATAAACATACCTGTTAGTTTATTGAAAGATTCCTTGTAATAAATCCATAAAGTTGTTATTATGAAGATAAGATAAATATACATCAGGTAGTTTATTGAAAGATTCCTTGTAATAAATCCATAAAGTTGTTGTTATGAAGATAAGATAAAGATAATATTAATATACATCAAGTTTACATATGATAAAAGATAACATAATATTATAATACATGTTGACGAAAATATAGTTTGCTACTAAATATCTACAAAGCTTCTTTTCTTCGTTTGACAGTTATTTCTTCCTCTGTATGAAGCGACGCATTTGTTGTAGGTTTCATGGTTTGTTGTATATGCCGACTTACTGTTGATACCCCATCAACAAATTTAGTTTTAAATAGAATATTGGCATTAGTAAACATACCATCTTTTAATGAAACCACAATAAACTGAAAGAGTAAAATGAGTATTAATTACAGATCATAACTCATGATGAACATTCTAAGTAAATCATTATCCAATATACATGTAAATTAAATCGCCTTACACTGAGAAGTAGTAAGAGTGAGATTTGTACGCTTAGGGCATAGGTATCTCCCGATTTTGGTAAATTTCTATGAATATCGGTAAAATTCTAATTATCGCAACAAATCTAATACGAAGAGGCTAAAATCTGTAGGTACGGTGTGTTAATTAACAGGGGTGAGAAATTGACTGAGTGGTGATATAATTATCGCTAGGGGTGAAAATCTCGGCGACGGTGTGTTTTCTGTACCGGTGTGTTAATTAACGAACGGGTTAAAAACGACTGACACGGTGTGTATTCTTTGTTTGGTGAGTTTTCTCGAAAGCGTGTTATAACTGCACCAAAGGTGTTTTATCAAGGACCAACAGGCTTTATCTGACGCGTAGGTGTTAAATCCAATCTACCGTGCGAAATCTTGTTCGACAGTGTTTTACGCAGATCGGTCTTTGTTAAGTGTAGGTCTTTATACGTGGATTTATACGTCCTGTAGTTACATTTGTTCGTTCTTATACGTATTTCATTTCTTGGTGAATACTACGTGTTTTATACTTCGTACCATAGTCGGGCTGCAATTATTTATATATTTGTCTTTTTGTGGGTTTAATTTGTTTATATATTATCGTGCGTACCACTGAAGTATAAATGAACGTTATTTACCGATAACCGGACCAGCCTTCATTGATATCAGACTAACGAATCTGTTTCGAAAAGCAAGTTTATAAATATAAAATTGAGCAATTGATGAAAAACTATTGGTTTCGTCATGTCTATATTTACTACACGTGGGCGTTTTAATGCATAAATGTATTTTTTCTTACCCGGGTTGTAAAAAGGACTATCCAAGAAAAATTTAATTTCCACATATATAACAAATGATAATTCACATATCAAATAACACTAATGCAAATAGGGACATGCGCCGGCGGTGATATTGTCCATTGACCTTCGACTTAATATGGAAATAGAGGCTTTACAAGAACAGCTAAATTTAAACACTTGTTAATATTTCTATTGTTGACGATTGTATGAAATAGCTTTATTATTTTTCTTCCGGTACTAATAAACTACGGGTCGAGTGGATCCAATTTTTATTATGTGATTTATCAACGTGATGACAGATCGAGAGTCGGGCTGCAATTATTTATATATTTGTCTTTTTTGTGGGTTTAATTTGGTTATATATTATCGTGCGTACTAATGCGTGTGTCTTAAAATCAGTCACATGCAATATCGTTATTACCGATATCCCGCTAAACCTTCATTTGATTATCCGATATATTCTAATCTCTATTGATATCAGATGCTCTAATCTTTTTTGAAAGCACAATTTTAAACAAAAAATCTCGCAATTAATGATAACCTGTAAGTTTCGTCACCGTTATATTTTATAAATGTATTTCTTACCTGGGTCGTAAATAGGGCTATCCAAGGAAACAGAATTCCATCACTGTATAACAATAGATAAATCACATACCAAATAACACTAATCATGTCTAATAATAGGAACTCACGTCCGCCTCCAACACGTGGAGCTGATCGTCGAACATCTTCTGGTATGCTCTGATTCCATCACACTTTGTGTAACAAGCTTGTCTTTGCATACACAATTCCGACCTATTACGATCGCGACCTATGGAAATATGGGTTTTACGAGAACCAGCTAAATTTAAACACATCACTTAATATTCCCATCGTTTGCGATTGGATAAAGCACAGGTACAGTGGATTCAGTCTCAGTTGTTGTTAGTTAGTTGTATTTTACGTCCGCTTCCACCGAGGTGATATCGCAGACAAGATTCAGTCTCATCCTTATTATAGAATTTATACTATCCGGAGAGCACGCTTTTCACACGAAATATTGCCCTTTGATCTCAGACCCCCTTTGATCTCAGACCGAAAGGCGACACTGTTAATGGATTTGCTGAAATAGTTGGATGGAGTGTGACTCTTTTTACCTGTTACACTTAATTCAAGAATGACATACTGTGGTCTATTCAGTGTTGGTCTTATTGCAATGACATAAATGTATGTTTTACTTCTATATCATCTCATTTGAATAAAGCTTGATATTTTATCAACATGTATACAATTTATTTTTTTTCTCATAGGAAATTTCGGTTAGTATCTCAAATGAATAAAAACCCAGCCCAAGTGATTATATTATAGTCAGAGAAATGTTCAAACACACAAGAAAAATAGACAAGACAAATGTACAAGCAATACCATTATTTATTATTACATTATTGATATATGCATATGCCTTCATATATAAAACGTTTTAATTAAATTGTGACGTATAAATTATTTGCTGTATTTATTTTTTCTTTAATTGGCAGTTGATATGGGCCGAAGCATTCCCTTCGATGCGTATTAGCTCTGCTCCAATAATGACATTTTGTGTAATATTAGGGCGATTCAAAAGAAACATGGTCAACAAGTGGAATTTAAGAGTGAGCTAGAAGGAAATATTCAAAATGGCCGTCAATTCTTTTCGAAGAGAATCAATTATTTTAATAGTTAAACCGTGGCTTCATACGGCTTGTAAAATATACAAACATGACTAATCGGATATTATTATTTCAAATTGTACTATCACCATTGATGGGAAATGCAAGAATGAATCAAATAGCGATGATTATCGAGTGAGAATAAGGTGGTCCACCATTTGCTACATTTACCAGCGCCAAAATTCTCTAAAGTGATGTATGAGTATAATTGTAAGCATATCTTACAAATAATATCAAAACTGAGTATAATTGTAAGCATATCTTACATATAATATCAAAATTTATATCCTATCTGGGATTTCGATTCTGATACATTCATGGTACTTGAAAACAACAAGAGGGATTATAAGATTTAAATACAATAAAATACTAACTATTACATTATTATCATGTGGTACTTAAGTTAGAGGACTAAGTTATTTTTCTACAGTATATTTCAAAACAAAAAAATTGTCGTATTGGAAATACATGTATGCGAAAATTTGATGCCTTTGGTTCTTCTTCTTCTTCTTGAATTTGTTAAATTATTAAACGTATTTCCAAGTCACATAATATTACAACATAAACTGCCATCAGAGCAGGAAGTACGCTTCGCTGAACACCAACTTGGATCACCGTTGACCTAGATGTTATATAACAACTGTTAATTGCCAGACTTTATTAGGGGCAATAAATTAATTATTGCCCCAGCTCAACAATTTTAGTGAATGTGTTTTATCTTAGTTAAGATTTCGAAAAACAGGGCCCAGGTACACTTAATTTATCAGAACACAACAATAATTTTCTTGAATGAACCTTGGTTTATTAAAATTCAAATTATGACCCTGTAAATTAATATAGATGTGTTGTGTATCCTATTTCAAAACCGTAATTAATTACATCAAAGGTGTATAAGAAATTATTGTTGTTCTGAAATAGTTTTCTTTATCAAATTTAATAATTAAGCTGTTAAAACGTCAAATTCTGGACATAATGTGTGCTGTGCACGGTTCTAAAAGTGGAAGACTTTTATGACGTGGGACTCAATTTAGCATAATATATGGCTGGAAATATTGTAAACCTTAAAGTTTAAAACTATGACTTTAGAATACTTGTATAGTGAAAATGTTGAAATTGATCACTACAGCAATAAATTGTTGTTTCAGAATTAACAGATCTTTAACAATAAATCATACTATAACACTATTCTAAACCCGTACCCAAGAATAAATATTAAATATTTAGATTTCGAAATTACAATCAAAACAAAATCACAAATTACTACGGCATATTATGAAAATCTTTTCAAATAAAGCGACCGAAATAACAAAAGAGATTTTAAAGTCGTTTTAGACTGGAAGCGAACTCCAAAGGTGATTGCATGCTTTTATAAATAGACACATGGAGCCCGTGCTCTCGATCTGTCATCACGTTGATAAATCACATAATAAAAATTGGATCCACTCGACCCGTAGTTTATTAGTACCGGGAGAAAAATAATAAAGCTATTTCATACAATCGTCAACAATAGAAATATTAACAAGTGTTTAAATTTAGCTGTTCTTGTAAAGCCTCTATTTCCATATTAAGTCGAAGGTCAATGGACAATATCACCGCCGGCGCATGTCCCTATTTGCATTAGTGTTATTTGATATGTGAATTATCATTTGTTATATATGTGGAAATTAAATTTTTCTTGGATAGTCCTTTTTACAACCAAGGTAAGAAAAAATACATTTATGCATTAAAACGCCCACGTGTAGTAAATATAGACATGACGAAACCAATAGTTTTTCATCAATTGCTCAATTTTATATTTATAAACTTGCTTTTCGAAACAGATTCGTTAGTCTGATATCAATGGAGGCTGGTCCGGTTATCTGTAAATAACGTTCATTTATACTTCAGTGGTACGCACGATAATATATAAACAAATTAAACCCACAAAAAGACAAATATATAAATAATTGCAGCCGGACTATGGTACGAAGTATAAAACACGTAGAATTCACCAAGAAATGAAATACGTATAAGAACGAACAAATGTAACTACAGGACGTATAAATCCATGTATAAAGACCTACACTTAACAAAGACCGATCTGCGTAAAACACTGTCGAACAAGATTTCACACGGTAGATTGGTTTTAACACCTACGCGTCAGATAAAGCCTGTTGGTCCTTGATAAAACACCTTTGGTGCAGTTATAACACGCTTTCGAGAAAACTCACCAAACAAAGAATACACACCGTGTCAGTCGTTTTTAACCCGTTCGTTAATTAACACACCGGTACAGAAAACACACCGTCGCCGAGATTTTCACCCCTAGCGATAATTATATCACCACTCAGTCAATTTCTCACCCCTGTTAATTAACACACCGTACCTACAGATTTTAGCCTCTTCGTATTAGATTTGTTACGATAATTAGAATTTT